CCGGACGGACGGCCGGACGACCGGACGACCGGACGGACGGACGGACGTACGATCATGCGATTCTACAAGCTGCATCTGACTATGTCAGATGAGCTAAAAAGAGAATTGTCCTAGTCAGAATGAAGGCTGTACATGTACTCAAAAGTGCCTCAAATACCATCTCCTGCGATCAACATTTTAAACATTTTCTGGGGGAGGACCCCCATACCGCCTGTTTTTCATCCCCCTCCTTTTATATAATTAACTTGGTAGTAGAGAACAACGAACAAAAATGTCGCCTTTAAGCATGGCGCCTGAAACAAAGATTGCAGAGCTGAAAGGTGGGGGAACGTAGGGTGTGGAGAGGGAGGTGGAGGAACCATTAAAATATTAATTAGTCATCCACCATTTTGCGCAGTTCGCTGTTTTTGGCTGTTCCCTGTTAAAGAAATTTATCTATTTTGTTTTGTAAATCTGGATATGGTTGCAGTCAATCAATTTAATATTAGTACTTTCTAAAATGAAACTTTACATAGAATCATGTTCATATCATATAAATGAAGAGATTGTGAACTTCTATGAAATGTGAAAATCCTAATGGTACAGTTTTCAAATAGAATTTAATGTTAATTTCAAGAATGTTTATAAGTGTTATTTTGAATTAGGAAAATGAAAGTTAGACACAGCCCTTGTAAATGTACAAATACAGGCATGAAACAATGTGTAGACAAATACGTCCCGTCCGACACATTATCATTGTCCTGTCCAACACATGAAATAAGTGCTTCACAAGAAAAAACTGTTCATTAGGTGATGAAAGGTAAAAGACAGAAAGAAAGATTGCGTATCTATGGTGGTTCTGCATGGGTGCCTGATTTACCCTGTTAGTAATAGAACAGAAGTTTCAGTATACAGTAAAACGCATAAGTCGACACTTATATATACACGCATATTTGTGTCGACTTACGAAAATGACGATTTTTGTCAGCAAATCGTACCGATTAATTTCTCCGTCTTGCCGTCCCCAGGGTGACCCCCACTGATCTCTATAAATAACTTTTATAGTTATTTATAAAGATCAGTGGGTGACCCCGGTATGTAGATTGCAGCACTGCAGTACTGAAACACTGCAGTTGGAAGTTGGAGAATGGAGGAAGAGGAAGTATGTGCGTTATAGTAAGTAGTAGAGGAAGTAGGTATCACGTGAAAGTTTTTAAGCCAATTAGATTTATCCAACTCGCCGATTTCACGAATCCGAGTCGAGCAAAATAGAACACGTTCTATTTCGCCAACTCGTCGACTTGTCTCCGACTCCGACACCAACACAATCGAATTTCAGCCCATTGTGTTGGACGGTGATTGTGTTGCACTTGAAATCGGTACGATTTGCTGACAAAAATCGATAGTGTAAACCCAGCATTAAAGCTTACATCACACGTACGGACTCCTGCATATATGTCAAATCAGGGAGTCCGACAGTAAATCAGGGAGTATTTGAATCGATCCGGACTCGCGTTAATTTCGCACCCTGCATTGTGCTGCATACACTATATACACTATATAATACACTGTATACAGTGGGGAACCTGGGGGTGTGCGAGCTGTGAGCTGGAAAAAAATACAATGCGTCCAAGCGAACAATACGATTCAAACAATCCGTCTGTGACAGCCAGCTCGTGTATTCCCTAGACCGTACACTGCGCAATCGGCATTTCTGATGTCGACTTACAAGTTACAGTTAAGGGCCGGACACACTAGGCGATTTTAATGCGATCTAATTGGGCGACTTTATCGCCCGATTCTATCGCGCGAGTCGAGTGGACACATCACGCGATTTAGTCGCGCGACTGAAATAATCGCCCGATAATATCAAAACATGTTGATCGATGCGATTGAATCGGGCGACTAAATCGGGCGACTAAATCGGCGGCGACTGACTGGACACATTAGGCGATTTTCACCGGCGATTGAGTCGCCCGACTGAGTTGCCCGATAAAATCGCCTAGTGTGTCCGGCCCTTTACAGATGGGAAATTACTGTTGTTTGTATTACATGGGACCTGTCCGAGGGCGTCAACTGACATAATCAGATGCAGTTTGTAGAATCGCATGATTGTCCGTGCGTGCGTGCATGCGTCCGTCCGTCCGTCCGTCAACAGTTGGGCACAAATCTTAACCGCTCGACGTACGGTCACGATATTGGGGGCCGGCGGGGAGGCGGGCGGGGTAATCCAGAAAAAACGACGTGTGTGATGTACAAAGCTG